TTGTGCCATTGTCAGGATATGGTTACAATATTTTATATGTGGTCGTGCCATTGTTAGGATATGGTTACTGTAGTGTTTACGTGGTTGTGCCATTGTTAGGATATGGCTAGATATGTATTTATTATTTGGTGTGCCATGATACGAGCTTGAGGTCTCGTGATTAGTGGTTAGGACTGAGGTGTGTATTGCTGGTTGAGATGGGTAGCTGGATATAAGGGTGTGTGTGCGTTAGTAGAAGGAAGACTCATGACCACCTTGTTTGCGCTTTGCATGAGATACTCACTATCTGGTTGAGTCTGCCTTTAGTCCAGTAAGAGTCTTTAGTGTGTGTGTGTGTGTGTATATATATATATATTGACTATGTAGATATTGCATGAGTTAGTTAGGGATGTATCGTTCATCGGGTCTCTGTCTGGGTTGTTGTAGAAATGACTTGTTCGTGGGTTTTGACCCACTTTTGTTTTATTTTTCAGGTCCTCGTCAATAACAGGTTTAGAGGTTGTTCGTGCCGAGTAAAGGTTACTCTTCATCACTCTTCTAGTGTCGTCGACGTAAGATTCTACTTCATGTCTTTATTATCCATGATTTATACATTTATCTTTATTATTTCAGTTTTGGGATATTTATTTTAGGGGTCCATGATACGGATTCCTGAGTTGTATTTTGAGGATTATTTTATTCAGGATTATTGGATAAATTCTGAGATTGGTATCAAATGATTTATTTAATTATTATTTAGTTTTCTTTTTCAGCGATATTATTTATTTTATTAGTTATTCTATTTGTATTCTGTGTTCATTTATTATTAATTATTTGATATCCCCTGGTTATTGGGCAAGGACTTGATCAACCTGCGTTCTGGAATTGGGGGTATCACAAATTTATCATCCGAATCACAGAACTTGAAGCAATTGGGATAAAAGAGAGACTAAACATGTATACGGTGGCAACAGGCGAAGGAGCCACAGTCGATGCCGAACAGTAGAACCTCGACAGCTGTCGTCAGCGTCGGTGACAACAATTGTGTCATGAGAAGGGAGGTGAGATATGGAGATGAGTTCTTTAATCCTAGTAAAGAAAAAGGTGAGAAATTAAAGTTTCGATGGAGTAGAAGGAGGTGGTGGTATAGTCGTTTTATAATGGTCTTGGATGGTTGCGGGGGCACCGGTAGTGGTTGTGATGTGGGAATAGTGGTGGCAATGTAGCTCCATGTTATGGGTTACTCTCCGAAAATCTCCAAAAAGCATGTTTTTTCTTATCCTGTAACCTTTAGCTGTTATCCATGGTGGCAGAGTTTGTCTCTACTGCATAAAGCCCAACAACTTCTCTTCTTTCAAACTCTCTTCTTCAAACTCTCTCAAGCTTCAAGGAAGTAGGAGGGTATAGTTTTTCCAAGGTGGATTTGCCAAGCATTTTTAGTTCACAGGAAAATAAAAACAGTTTGTTTATGCAATGGTGTGCCTATGTCCCGTTTGAGTCTGTTTTTATGGGTTCAAGTTAATTTTTCTTTCAAATTGTAATTGTGGGATCCACAAGAGCATTTTTTTTTTTTTTTTGAAGTTTTGATTACTTTTATAATTTCAAGACAAAGGGTATATCATGAATATTTAAAAAATAATGCATTGGATTTTGAAGTATGACACTTATTTTGGAAAAGCCAAAAAAAGAAAGTATGACACTTAATTTAAGACGGATGGAATAATATTTAAGAACAATACTTACCTACTAATTAGGTTATCCTACTAACTATTGATGTGCACACATAGTCGACAATTACAAAATTAAGAATCTAATAAATATGGAAATTAGAGAATGTGAATGAATTTATTTCAAAAAAAGTTATTTTTCTTACTTATCATTTTACTGATTTTGTAAGTACATCCTATGCGTATTTGTGATTGGACCACATTTGTAGTCACTAGAGATATGTAAGTATTGTCTAATAGTTAATATATATAATAATTATTATATATAAAAATTCAAAAGGCAAAAAAAAAAAAAAAAAAAAAAAAAATAGGAATGTTAAACACTTGATAGCCTGAAACATGTTTTTTTTGCCCTTTTGTATTAGTTATTTCATGTTATTTATTTAAGTTATTTAATCCTAATTTTTTAAGTTAGGACTTATAGATAGAAACTAGGTATAGAAAAAAGTTATAATCACTATTCTCCCCCTTATGCATTTTTTTGTTGGTAAGAAATATATTTACACATTTATTTATTTTTATAATTATTATATATTTAATATATATTTATATTTTTTATAATTTAATAAAAAAATAATTTTAAGATAATTAAAAACAAATCAGAGAGGTTTAAGATTAATTTTATCTTCAAATTTATTCACTAAATCAACCAAAGTCAGTGAGTCACGTTAGGCAATTAAGCATGTGGGAGTTCTTACCACAACCTTCTTTGACCTGTAGTTTGTCCACCACGGCAGTAAGAGAATTTTTAATTCAAGTCTTCCTAATCCCATGGAAGTATCTCTAAATAATATTCTATGTAGTAATAATATCAACATGTTTTAATTTTTGGTGGAAAATAAATAAAATATTTATATTCTTATCCAGCAAAACAAACATTACTCGGTGCAATGAATGGGAATATATACGACCACCACAAATAATAGATATTAAATGTCACCACTTGGCGTGTCCTCCGCGGACGAGCGGCTGCTAATGAGGAAAGTCAGGACAACGCGTTTGGTCCGTCACACGAGTTGACTTGGAAATTGGAACCAGTCTTTGGTCTTTAGTCTTCCCTCAATTTCTAAATTGCTTCATCCAATTTAGAAGAGGCCCTTGGTATGGAATACATATTTGGTGAGTACGTATTGTATTTGTACGATTCAGATAAATTCGGTGTACAATGCACCAAATGTGTCCAATACTATATTCTCGATAAGTAAGGTAGGTATATGGGTGAGCCCCAAATACCAATACAACCTAAATTTAACAAATGTGTGGGGTACTTTTTATTAAATAGTGGGACCCATTTCACCTTATGATAAGGCTATCTATTAACTTGCTTATTCGATTTGGAGGACCTCACAGTGTAAGAATGAGCCTATTATGAGGTCATATTAAAGAGAGTTAGGTTATTATGAGGTCATATTAAAATTGGTTTTTTTTTTTAAATAATATAATTAGTTTAAAGTATTTTAAAATGTAAGAGCATCTCTAGCAGTGTGTTAAAAGATCTTTATATATAAAATGTGTAATTTTTTTTTTTTTTTAATCTTTAGAAGTATGTTATATATTGTCACTGTAAAATTATTGTGTATTTTGCACAGCCCTTTTGTATAGCCACATCAGCATATTTCCTTTATTCTCATTCTTTCTCATTCCATTAACGAATCAACCTAGCATATTTCATTTCTCATTCAATTAACAAATCAACATAGTAAGTAGGTTTGTAAAAATTATGTGTGGTATTACACATGATACGTGATTGGTTATTATTGATAAATAAATTTTTACACAAAAAGTATAAAACAATGGTTGGAGCTAAAAATAATTAGTCTAAATTTTTTTGTATAAATCTACTATGACAAAATATAGACAACTGTTGAACACGTTCTAAGAGTTATTTAATGACTATTTAATTTAACTAAATTAAGGTAAAAAACTAGAAAGTTGAATTTATTTCGTTTGGAAGTATCGAATAAACAAATTGAATTTAAAATTAGAAAAAATTTAGTTAAAACCGTCAATTCGATATTCCTAAACCCAATATAAATAAATTTTGATATGAAATGTTAACTTTAAATTATTAAAAAAAAATGCGCTATCAATTATATATGCATTTTTATTTTGTTTATGATGTTGATAAAAATAAATAGAGCTCATAATAGTTGTGATGAACTGTTACAACTTTTTCTCACTCCCAAGTTTGTGATTTACTTTAGTAGGCTCTGGGCTTTCTAGAAAGGAAATATTTGGGTTTGTTTAGCAGGCGTTTTGTTTTGGCATTTTTGTTTAATTCATGTTTTGTTATATGTTGTTGAAGCAAAAATTTGCACAACTCATAATGATGACATTTCCTGCAAAACAATGAATACATTACCTCGAGTGACAATGTGGTGCTGGGCGATGACCCTCCGATGATCAAAATTAAATGTCTAAAATTTTTCTCATACCCCATTTAATGGCCTTTTACGTACCCTATTTATGGTTACCTCGAGATCTAGTCGGTTGCATAGATGTCAACTGGGGAGATCCGATTTATCTTTCTTAACTGATCTCCCCTCTCTTAGTCTCTTTGTCAATTGAATCATTTACTCGGTCAAGACGGCTTGTTAAACGTAGAGTTATTTTTCTCCTATCATATGTTATTTTGAATAGTAATCGAAAGTATGTTTAGTAATGCATATTTGTTGTAAAAAAATTTGAAAGCAAAAATATAAAAACATGTTTGATAAAATATGACGTTACAAGTTAAAAAAATATAATAACTAGTTTTAAAAGATCATTTCAGAGTTTTTTTTTAAAAAATATTGGTTGCTGTTAGAGTACAAAAATATGTAAAAATAGTAAATTAGTGTTTCAATTTTTAGTCACTTACTAATTGTATTTTTTTCACTATTCACTACAGTACCGCACCGAACAAAAATAAAAATATCAAAAACAAAACAAGTACCAAACATGCCCTTTGTGACCACTCTTACACTTATCGTGACATAATATAATTATATCATATGAAATAGATTAATTAATTTGGAATTAGATTTTTTTTTTTTAAAAGGTAATTTGGAATTAGATTGATTTAAGTAAAAATAAATTAATTGATTGTTACGTTTTGTATATATATATATATATTTATAAAAATTTGTGAACGACATCCATTGAGATACGTTAGATGCAGAAGTTTCTCACCCAATTGGAGTCAAACATTTTTTGGGCGAAGAAAACTCAACTAAACGTGGTCCATTGCATGTGTAAATTTCACACAGCGTATACATATGTATCTATATTGCGCCGCTCTCCTCACTCTCACTTTCCTCACGCTTGTCACGCAATTTCCCAACCCCCTTTATAAACAACCCACACCACTCCCTCACTCTCACACTTCAGCCTCCACAACTCTCTTGTTTCTCTCTCAAGCTTTCTTGTTTCTCTCTCTAAAACTATCTTCTTCAACACTCTCTCTCTCCGCTCACTGAATCAAGATCTAATGGCGCTTGAAGCTCTCAACTCTCCCACTACACCATCACCTAATTCACTCAACTATGATAACATCAACCATCCCTCTATTGAGTCATGGACCAAGGGAAAGCGATCAAAACGACCGCGTATCGAACAGTCACCCACCGAAGAGGAGTACCTCGCTCTCTGCCTCATCATGCTCGCTCGCGGCGGCGCCGCTTCACATCGCGTCCACTCCTCACCACCGCCGCCGCCGAAGCCGACGTCGTCTGATTCGAAGCCCGTCTACAACTGTTCAGTCTGCAACAAGTCCTTCGGTTCCTACCAAGCCCTAGGCGGTCACAAGGCCAGTCACAGAAAACAAGCCGGAGCAGACGAGCAATCGTCCAATTCCGCCGCCACCACGACCGCCTCCGCCGCTGCCGGCGGCGTCAGGACTCACGAGTGCTCTATCTGCCACAAGTGTTTCCCCACCGGACAGGCGTTGGGCGGACACAAGCGGTGCCACTACGAAGGTGCTGCCGGTGCTGCTGCCAGAAGTGGAGTGGCAACCTCGTCGGAAGGAGTGGGGTCCACCAACAGCTACCGAGATTTTGACCTGAACCTCCCTGCCTGGCCGGAATTATCCCCCAAATTCAAATTCGGCGAGGACGAGGTGGAGAGTCCTCATCCGGCGAAGAAGCCTCGTCTTTTGTTGCCGGTGAAAGCTGAAGTCTCTCCCATATGAATCATATGATGAATACCTTAGCAAATTAGGGCTACAATTTAGCAGATTTGATTGAGATCTCACAATATTTATTTATTTATTTATATATATATGATTTGGTGATTTATAATTTTATATGTACATAAAATATGTAATTCACCTTATTTGTGATAGAGATTATTTCATTTTATTTATTATGAAAGTGATTTTGGTGCATGGAAGCTGTATTTGGAATTACCTTTATTGTGTTATTTTTAATTTTTGGTATATATTCAATGATGATATAATGACGTCATTTTACTAATATTGTTATCAATTGTCCAAAATCACTCTAAAACAGAAAAGCATTTATTTGTAGACCTCACATATTTAAACTCCAAGCATGGTTCTAGTTTAATTTGTTTAGTGAAAAATGTATGATTTGTGTGTGCGCGTGTGTTTGATTTTGTTTATATCTTGTGATGAGTGGTAGGTGTGGATAAGAAGATAGGTTTTACACATGGTTAAACATGTCAAAGTGTTTATGTAAATTAATTGAATTAGGCAAAGACGACTAAGAGAAATGGTCCAAATTCAGAGTAAACAAATTACAATTGCATTTCATAGCAAGTTCGAAGAGGGACACTTGGCATCGAAGTAGTTTTCTTAACACATACAATGCTTGGTTTTTAAGAGGACTCTTGACATTTCCACAGCTCCAAACCTAGTTAGAAGACTAAATGATTTGGCTACCCAAAGCCAATCTCTAGAGGATTTTAATACCAAATTACATCATCTCTGTCATGAAGAGAGGGGAAGCTGGAGTTAGGGGTGGTAATTCGTGTTGGAAGGTTGCGTTCGTGTCGTGTCAGAACGTAACTCTTCTGTTAAATGAAAAGACACTAATACAACACGATTATTTTCGCGTTAAAAAATCCTGATACGATTATTACACGCCGTAAATCGTTTAATACAGTAAATGGGTTAAAAGTTGACATGACACGAAATAACACGATGAGGCACGTTTTAGTCATTTTTGACATCAACACAACGCGTTTATGCAACACGATTGGTCAAACATGTTATTTTTAATACGCGACACGTTTAATTAAATAGGTTAATCGGATTATAAACAGGTTGATGTGTCAAATATAAACACGACACGTTTAATTACCGTGTCAATTCGAATTAACAAGATTAAGTCAAATCTAAACTTACTTATTTAGCATTGTGTTAGCGTGTACGTGTTAAATATTACCATCTCTAACTAGACGATATAAATACTACTAAAAGAAATGAACTTCTTTAATCGAATTCAACTAGAGTCTAATGGACACGGACAAGGTGAGAAGCCCATCAATCTTGATGAGTCCCACATCATCACTACTATGCATGATTCGAAGAGAAAAGTATTTTTCATATTAATTTGTATACCATCTAATCGCTTAAGCTTTTCTGGCAAGTAAAGAGCTGAGAATGTGAACGTTTTAAAGAAGAAATTGACAACTCAAAGTTAAAATAATGACTCATGACTTTTGGTCCAACATTTGTTTAGCATGTACTACTCCATGTATTAAAAGTTGCTTTGAATAGTTCTACCTTGGACATAGCTAAAAGGAGACTAAAAGTATATATGAGAGTAGCCTTTACGTGTGGTAGAGAAATTTGACAATAACAAGCCATAACCAGACCAATTATAGTGGTACAACACTATTAGTATATTCTTACAATTTGTCAAAAAAAACACATAAGACACACAGTAATTAATTTGCAACAAAATATTGGGGAATACATGCGTAGCAAAGATAAAGAAATAAGTGAATGGTACACTGCATATATCCACATAACCGCGTGGAATCGCAACAATGTCTAGTCATGTTTTGGGTAGGGACAAACGCATTTGGCATTCCACACCTTAATTAATGGATGCTTCTAAAATGTCTAAATGAGTACCAATTCTCCTAATCTGTAACCATCACAAAAATGTGGACATTATTTAAGTTTGGTTTAATTTCTTACAGCTTAACATTTGGTATTTAAGCAGGTGCTTGGATCTATCCGCAGTACAATATATACTCCATCTCACGATTCACAAGTTTAATACATGAGGAGATTTACTTACGCATCTAAAGATTTTAAACCATTAGAGACAGTACAAGCATTATACTGTAGAAGATACTAGCTCATTAGAGTAGTGATAGGTCATCCGAGAAATTAAACAGATGATCGAAACTTCACGTGAGGATTGTAGACCATCAGATGCAATACAAATGTTGTACTGCAGAGTATCTTAGCTCATTGGAGTAGTTTTAGGTCCTTCGAAAACAGATGATCAAAACCTCACATGTGAAGATTGTAGACCAATGGATGTAGTACAAGTGTTGTATTGCAAAGTATCCTAGATAGGAGTGGCCATTCGCATTCGTGGGTCATAATCGTGTCGCGTCGATTTAAATATATTTTACTAAACAGTTTAATCCGAACATGACCCATTTAATAATACCCTCAACACTAACCTAACCTGTTTATTAAACGGGTTATACATGTAATCCGTTAATGACCTATTTAATAAAACGAAACATTATATTATTTAAATTATTAATAATACTTGATCAAACAATAAATATTAAAAAAAATATAAATTTCAATCCAATCACATGACTAAATAATATCTAATATACAAAAAAAAAAAAAATTATAAGATATCGTAATGGTACTCATAAAGTGTTTTATGGTTTTACTTTTTATTATCATTATTCAAACTCAGTACCAATTACACCATATTTGGACACGCATATAGATATAGATATATTGTTACAGCTAATTTCCAACTATATATATATATATATATATATATATATATATATCTATGGACTCCACCTCACTTGTCCATCCTATGATATGTTGACAGAAGATATATGTGAGGATGGCCAATGGAGGAGAACAATTAGATGCCTCAACTAACTCAAGATTAGTTGGTCGGCATTTGACACTAGCTAGGAATAGTATAAGTCGGCACACCCAATTTCTATAAGAATAAATGTGTGGTGCCCCAATTTGGCTGGTCTCAATTAATCCTTAGTTTAGCATTTGGGATTGTTATACGTACAAGTCATAGCATATGCTCCATTGCTTCCTCTTCACTAGGATTGACTCTTGAGGACATTATATAATATTCACACAAAAGTCATAGACCAACCATTTAAAATTTTTTTAATGTATCTCACAATAATATATATATATATATATATATATATATATATATATATATATCTTATGAAAAATAAATGTGTATTTTTTATTTAACTTTCAAGTATATATAAGGTAAATTCCATCCTCTTCGCATCAGTCATTAGTCATTACATCTACTAAATTGATTTTTGCTCATGATTATGCTATCCAAGCCAAGTCAGCTTGTAAATCATTATTTTAGTTTGATATTTTTTGAGTCTGACAATCACAGTAAACGCACCTAGTACATCTGTATGTGTGTGTGTGTAAGATGTGTAATAATAAATTGTTGTGAAAAAATAATAATATATACACTAACAATATTTTACACAACATGTTGATTCAAAAACATGAAAGGAAACTAAAAAATGTCAAAATCCCATCCCATCTTTCTTAATTTTCAAACCGACCTTTTGAGCGTATTTGATAGTCATAGAGCAGTGGTCAACTCATGGAGGGTTTTTTCATGATTTTTTTTTTAATGACAAATACTCACCTCACGTTTTAGAGATTGAACGGTTTGAATTTTTTAAAATCACTCTTAGAGATTTTCTGAATAATTATTTGATACATACATGAGATTGAACGGTTTGAATTTTTTAAAATCACTCTTAGAGATTTTCTGAATAATTATTTGATACATACATGTTGAACAGAACGAAACCATATAATAATTATTCCTTGTGTAACTTGAAAATTTGAATTCTACTCTCTTATAAGTTATACATCCTACTCAAAACACATAATTACTTTTAAAGACGAGTAAGAGATAAAACCTGTAGGGTGTATAAGTCATAGCATATGCTCAATTGCTTCCTCTTAACTAGGATATTTTTTTTTAATGTATCTCACAATAATATATATATATATATCTTATGAAAAATAAATGTGTATTTTTTATTTAACTTTCAAGTATATATAAGGTAAATTCCATCGTCTTCGCATCAGTCATTAGTCATTATATCTACTAAATTGATTTTTGCTCATGATTATGCTATCCAAGCCAAGTCAGCTTGTAAATCATTATTTTAGTTTGATATTTTTTGAGTCTGACAATCACAGTAAACGCACCTAGTACATCTGTATGTGTGTGTGCGTAAGATGTGTAATAATAAATTGTTGTGAAAAAATAATAATATATACACTAACAATATTTTACACAACATGTTGATTCAAAAACATGAAAGGAAACTAAAAAAATGTCAAAATCCCATCCCATCTTTCTTAATTTTCAAACCGACCTTTTGAGCGTATTTGATAGTTATAGAGCAGTGGTCAACTCATGGAGGTTTTTTCCATGATTTTTTTTTTTTAATGACAAATACTCACCTCACATTTTAGAAATTGAACGATTTGAATTTCTTAAAATCACTCTTAGAGATTTTCTGAATAATTATTCGATACATATATATTGAACAGAACGAAACCATATAATAATTATTTCTTGAGTAATTTGAAAATTTGAATTCCACTCTCTTATAAGTTATACATCCTACTCAAAACACATAATTACTTTTAACGGCGAATATGAGATAAAACCTGTAAGGTGTTGCCACCTAATATAAATAGACATTGAACATAATATTTTAAAAGTAAATTTATGCGAGTAACATAATGATGACATTATCATATTTAATTATATCACGGTGATATTCTCCGCTCATATTATTAAGATCACATAACAAACACATGGTAGAGCAAGACTACTATTTTCTTCGTCAAAGGTGAAATTTATTTTTCTCATTAAATTTGGCTGATTGAATAGTGTCATGAGTTAGTGTTACATCTTCTTCGGTCTATTATATATATATATGAATGAAGTAATTGTGAATGATTGTTTTAGATGTTGATTCATTCATCTCAAAGATTTCCAAATTTCCCTCATTATGTGATCAAAATTTTAAAGTTCCTTCTTGTAATATTTTTTCTTAAAAAAAAAAAAAAAAAATTAAAATTATTCAAGTTCCAACAATTCTTCTAGGAAGCTTCGCACAATAATAGAGTTT